AGGGTGGTTTAAATTGCCTCTCAGTGCAGTGCTTTGCCTTGAAATGCCCTGGAGATTTTTGTGGCCAGTCTATTTCTGTGGCCTAGGGGAGGGAACAGACATTTTGACCTGATGGATGCTGATTTCTGAACCTGCCCTTATACAGCTGTAACAGAGCGTCTCTCACTAAGCCCTGTGTAAARCTGAGCTGCTTTCCTGGTGGGTCGACTGCTTTTCCTATGAGGTCTGGGGATGAGAAGTGATGGGCAGAACTGGGTTGAAGCTTTACCAAGACATCTCCTTATACTTCATGCTATGAAAGAGTTGCTAGAATGAACAATTGCATGACTGAAAATGCTCCRGGTTAGAAAAAATCGTAAATTACTAAAGCAAAACAAAATCTGCTTTGCATTTTAAGAGATCTACATTAAAAAAAATGCAGGCTTAGTCTGAAGCCTTAGAAATTTCCATCACTGGTTCATGCCTCTTAGTAGCGGGATTCTGGCATTTGTGTGATAAGATGAAGGCTGTAGCGCAGAGAATGTAATTTTAATTCATGAGGACCCAGCGTCTCATTATTTCAGATTATTTCTGCTTTGAAACCTGGGGTGAATGAGCATGTATCATGGCTCTGCAGTTTAGTGCAACTACAGTTACACCAATTCAGCAAGGTGAAAAGAAAGGAAGGAACATGGAATTAGCACAAGAAAATTATACAGATGTGCAAATGACAGCTCCTGGGTGTTAGGTGTGAAATTTCTCTTTAAGGTTCGTGCGGATCCTCAGGGGATGGAGCGTTTTGAAGTGATGAGCTCTTCACGTAGTGAAGCTCTAGCTGCAGTCATGGCAACGAGGCCGAAGCTCCGCTCCTCTTCCAGCCGCTGCAGCTTGGCAACAAGGGGCCGCTCGGCCCCTTCCTCCCTGCTCAGCTCGCGGCTGTCCAGGGAACAACCTGCATTGAACTAACTTCTAAAACTGTAACAACCTGCTTTCACTGATGAGGGAGAAAGGGGGTCTACAGCGTGAGAAATCACATGGCTGATTTGGTCTTCACCCTCCAGCCCTAGGATGCGGTAGGATGCAGAGATGAGTTTTGCAAGTTTTGAGGTCATCCTTTTCAGGAAAACAAAATAAGCCCAGTTGATAATGAAGAGTGAAACAAGATTAAAACTGCATGTTTTCCAAAACAGAAATGTCTTTTTTTCCTGGTATCCGTGACTTTACAATCAGCCCCTTGTCCCTGTTGTCTTTGCAAATTCATTCTTAGGGTCATTCTTAGCATTTAAATTCTGATATTTGTCTAGACCTGGTAACCATTAGAGYGCTAGTGTTTGTGTCATGCTCCCTACTAAATGTTCTAGCTAAATGGAAGCTTAAATGTAATCAGAAAACCATTGGGCTGTGTCCCCATTAAATGTATGTGTCTCTGAGCCAGACGAAGTATTTGGGTGGTCTTCTGGGATAAGTATTCTTCTGGATTTGTATCTCAAAGGGTTTAATAAAAGTTCATCACTTGTTTTACAGGTGAATTTTCAACAGTTGAAAGACAGTTCACAGTCATACCAGCATCTAGAGAATAAGTGGGGAGCAAAGTGGTGGCAGGAGACTTGTTTTATTGTAAATGAGAGGTATCTGTCTGATCRTTTGTCACTGGAGGAGAGCAGAAGTGCCTCTAAGGTGAAGGATGTTATACAGAGGCACCGAGTTCATTTGTACATAAAAGAGGGTCCCTCAAGACCCATGCTCCTTGGAGAGAAAAACTTTCCATAATTTCTACATTTGTCTTCTTGGGAGTAGCACTATGTCCTTTTGAGAATCCGTTGCAGAACGGTTCTGTTGCTGGCTTTTGAATGCAGGATCACAAAATGAAGTGGCATTTTTACCTTGACTTTCTTGAACATATGTCGAAGTCACTGTGGGCAGTTTAAAATAATGTAACTCATTTCCTACTTAATGCAAAGAATGAAGAGAGAGAAGTGAACTGTTGTTGCTACTGTCAATTGAAATGAGAGCAGGCAGAGGTAGAGAGACCCTGGAGTCAGTGGTGGATGAGGAGCTTTATTACTGCTCACGTGGCCTCTCCATGTCCTTGGGATCCCCCAAGGATCTCCTTGGGTACCAGTGTGATGCCATGGTGGGGAGGAGGTTGCTGAATGATTTGCATCCCAAGGTGACTTGTCCAACCTCTTCCACCAGCTCTTACTCAAATAACAAAGGCATTTTTGTTTATGTGTATTTGTCATCAGTCTTTGTAGTTGCTACAAAGACTTCAAAGACCGTCTGTGTTTATACCACCAACACAGAAGTAACTTCATTCCTGAGGAGCTACACCTTCCCCTCCAACTTCAAGCCTTGTTCTCTTGCTTTGGACAGGATGCTACCTAAAATAAAAGTCCTTGAAATGTGYTTAGTGGTGTAAGATTTGGCAAGAGCATTAACTGCTCTGATTTAAATCAGATATTTGGATCCAGATAGTCCAGATGAACTACATGATTGAAAATGGAGTTTATTCTGATTTAAAGCAAACTTTTTAATTTATATCTCTATTAAGAGGCACCATAAAAGGTAATGCTTATGATGCAAAGGAACTGTTTACTTGCCAAATGTATCTGTATGATGTGTGAAGTGACCATGGGAACCAATTTGGTGGTAATTATTTAAAGAGCACCTTGCAATAGCATGGTAATTACATGTATACTACATATATTTTGGCAGTTGCATGTGAAAAGCCTGTATCTAGGAGAAGATATAACAACTAAAAATCGATTTTGAGAGAAGGGTCCAGATAGGTCCCGCATTAAAAAATAAAATACATTCCTGAAGACTTTTTTTCTTGATGTATATTTTACAAATCGTGTTTTTTAAAGCAAGAGGAGATCTGTATATGGTTATCAACATTGTGCAAGTTTTAAACAGTTTGGTAGGCATTCCTGGGGGACTCCTTTTTTTGCCTGTTTTCATTTTTTTCCTTAAAAAATTAATTACAAGTTGCTATATTCCCCTCAGAGAACCTATTAACTGTGTGTCTGTCTCGAAAGAGTGTTTGGTTCTCATGAGATAAAAAGCCTCAGGCAAAAAGCTGCTGATTCCATTTCTGATTCATAAAGAATTTTTTTAAAGATTAATTCTATCCTTACTGGCATTTTTCATGAGTGATAATTAATAGCACTACATTAGGCTCAAAACTTGTAATATTGTTTTTATAAAGGAAACATACTTCCCACAAATGATTTTTCAGAGCTTCAATTTTACTTGAAATGTTATATGCAAAGATAATTTTCAAGCATTTAATCTTATATATAAAAATATATACACACAGTTCAAAGAAAACTTTCACATCTTCTGTAAACATTGAAACCATTGAAAAAAAAAAAAAAAAAAAAAAAAAAAAACCACTAGTGAAAACACTAGTTCTTGAAGCAATTTTCATGGAATACATTTACTTAAAAGTTACCCTAGGGATGTTACAAAAATACATTCTTAAGTGTCACTGAACCAAAGACTATTACCATTTTTAACCAGTAATAAATTATATAGGAAATCTGAGATTAGAGTTGGTGTAAGAATTCGTTAGATTTTTTTTTTTTAATTTATGGTAGCTGATAACTTTGTTCTATATCTGTGTGAAATGATTAAGAAGGAATCATTATATGGAATTATTTCCATGTTGTTATGATATGTAGCATTTGGRTAATTAAGGGACTTTTCAGTGTAACTGATGTGTTTCTGAGGGGAACATGCAGTGAGATTTTAGATTTTGGATTGTTGAAGGTGAATACTTTAATGCATATGTTTTTAAAAGACTATAGCTTCTTTCATCCTCAAATGGTTGTAATTGGACTTACCTTATTTTCAAAATAGATCCATGGGCTTCATTCTTGTGTTTCTGAGCCGCTTCGAGCTGAATAGCTCAGGCACTCTGTGTCTTTCTGCAGTTTTCAGGTTAGTGGTACAGCCCGAGCATGAAGTCGTGTCAGTGCAAAATGGATGAGGATCTTTGAGAAGGAGGCTCCACGTCTTGGGTGGGTTAATTCAAACCCTGCAGCTTGTGCTGGCGCTTTCCTTGCAGACACRTACCACAATAAGGACATTGTTAAGGCCTGCAACAACTCAAACTAGTTAGATGAGTTTATTGGCAATATTGGATCATATTTATGCACATGATCCACAGTGGGGCTGGAAAATATGCCCAAATATAGAAACCACGCTGTTTCTCTGCATGTGTTTTGTACTTGCATTTTTACATGTAAAGATATTTTAGTGTTGCAGAAAGAAGAATCTGTACAGGATAATTAGGATAGACAGCAAAGCTTTTGAGAGCTAACGTTTGAATGCTATGGCTAATTTCAAATGAACAGCTTTAATTTACACTGTAAAAGCAAGAAATGGGCAGTATATTGAGTCTCTGATCTTTTTAGGTTTTTGAAAACAAGTTATCTTGCTCCATCTCTGCCACTATCTCCTCTTCTCCCTTTCACTCCCCCAAATGAACCAACTACCAACAAGTAGTGACTTGTGGGGCCAGTCCCTTGTTTAGTTCCAAGGGCTAAAGAGGACCACATGCATCTCTCCCCCTTGGCTGCAGCGTCTTCACTTCGGAATAGCTGAGCAAAGAAGTCAGGTTCTTTCTTACCCTGGGAAGTAACTTTTAGGGTGGTAGAAGTCTTCTTTTGGAACAGGGTTAAGATGCACTGCGGGGACTATTTGGATGTCTCTGAGCTTTCCAGCTTTCACGATCGTTGCGTCTACTGGGAGTTCTTGTGAAAATTACATTATTGGAAAGAGTTCAGCACTGCTCCCTTGACTGGGAGGTCTGGGTTTGATTTACTTAACACAGTGAGTGTCTCTCCTATACTTTAGTAAWTTTTTTCTGTAGATGAAGACCTACTCTTCTTTAGAGGTCATACGTGATTCTTTTTATGTAAGGTGAACACATTGAAACGTGATTCTTGTAAAGGATTTAATGAACAATTTGATTGTTTAATGATTATGCTTAAGTAAAACTTCTGTTTGTCTTTCAGACACCACGAACCTGCGAAAACTTTATCAAGCTATGCAAGAAAAACTATTATGATGGAACAATTTTTCACAGATCAATTCGTAATTTTGTGGTAAGTCCTGTATAATATACCATAAGTGATGTCAAAATATTTAGATAGCTTAATTGTCAGTTCCTTCTATGCATCAAAATTTCAGTAGATATATATTAAAAATATACCTACAGAAGGTTTGTCCTTACTTATTGATTTTGTGTTTATTAGTCTTACTAACAACTCTCATTACTGCTAGCAACATGGAGCATYGCTGTGCTTAGCAGTGTTTTCACTGACATTCCAGACTAAGCTTTCTGGAAGTCATTGCCTTCACAAGACCCATGTTATCCTCCCCAGACTGTGGGTAGATGGGTATTTGAACAGAAGGAGAGAGAGGGAGCAAGAAGGAGAAATGCTAATTTGGATAAGTAATATTTGACCTATTAAAATTCTGTACAGATGAAGCCTGGTTTTAGAAAACAGCTGAATTTTTRTTCGGGTTGTGGTAGCTGGACATTATCAGATCATCCTTTTCTGAACGTGATTAAGGACTAAGTGCCTAGGCTTTGTTTGCAGGAGATTAAAGAGCACACAGTGAACCAGAAAGTTGACTTTTGTAGTCAAAGACTTAAGCTTTCAGTGTGAAACTATGTACCCTTACACAGCTTTAACTTACTGGTTTATGTAGAGTATCAAGCACAGCTGTTGGAGAGAAGCAAAAGATGTTCTCATATGACCAAGTTCCATCTTAAAGTGGTGAAGAATTTGGGTTCAAACTTCCTGGTCATTTTAAGCATCCGTTCCACTTTGAGTGTAAGAGCAGTTATACCATAAGCACCAGTGACTGAAATTAGAATGGATTGCACATAGCATTGGAATGGATGCTATATAAATTTAAATCATTGGACTTTGTTTAATCAGCTATTACGAGCACACATCAGCTTTTATAAAGATATCGAGCTGTTTTGAAGATATCAGGCTTCAGTCCTTCGGCARCAGTTAGGGGAGCTACATTTACTATCTTATTTTGGTAGTCTGAAGAAATATGCTTTGTACCAGGAGATTTGATTCTTGGAACTGAAATTTCGATTTGGTTACTCAGCATACCTAGTAAATGGCCTTTCCTAGTACATTTTTAGCTTGTATAAACAATTGTCAGATCTTATTAGGAGATGACTTCTTGATGCATCTTATTGCTATTGCAGCCTTTCAGAAGTCCTGGAAAGACAACCTTTATTTACATAGGTACTGTTCTGGCAGCTTGGTCTATTGTAGCTGTTCTGTAACTTCTTTTCAAAGGAATGAACAACTTGATCCTGGAGGCAGTGCGTGTCTTTCAGGGGACGTCATTGAATGTTACATTCCATCCTGTCATGCTAAAAAAAGCTTGCTTCTTTTGACAGCACTGTGTATCTCAGTTCCTAGTTAAACTCACAATTAAAATTGTGCTTGTGCGCTACCACCATGAAGCTAGTCATGTCCTGCTCMTCCTAATAGCATTAGAACATAGAATAATGTTTCTGTGTCTCATATGTATGTATATACACAAAGTGATGTATACAGTGGTAAGTTTTGTTGCAGAAAGAACAATTTCACATGGGAATCTTCCCCACTGCAGATAATGAGAAATATAGACACAAATATAGAAAATATCTCATATCCCATTTCCTGCCTTTCCATCATCTGGAGGATTGGTAACAAAATGTAAACCCTTAAAAGGCTTCAAAGCCAATGTATCATCAAACAAGTTAGGACCCTGCATCTGACAGAAAGTATGATCTGGTTAACCCATTTGAGATTTTTTATTCCCTGTTTACCAACAAGAGGCCTATTATTTTCATGAAATTGTCATTCTGCTCTTGGATGAGTCATGTAGGAGACAAAAGCCAATTGATAAAAGAAGGTCCAAATGAGTAGTAATGGTTTCCGTGTTGCTAACTTGTCAATGTGACAAAATACAGAAGGAGGAAAATTGAATAGAATTGTATTTTATGGTTCGTATTTAATACTTTTCACACATATATATATATAACAAAATTATTGTTATTTTAATTCTGCAGATCCAGGGAGGTGATCCGACTGGAACAGGAACAGGTAAGATTGTGTTTAAATTAAGCAAGCTATTTTTGCTTCATGCATGGTGTTGTTACTGGGTTTTTTGTTTGTTGTTTGTTTTTTCCAAGCCACTTTGTAGAATAAAATTCTGTGATGACTTGTAGTACTTACTGAGCATTTCTTCTCCAAAGCAGAGGTTCAATTTTATAGCTGTACTTTTATGRCATTTTCAACTATGCTTAAAATTCCATCCCATATATTCTCAGTCTAAACCTTAGACAGTCTTCCAAGTACAATTCCTGTAAAAGCTTTGCTTTCTTTTTTTTCCAGAAAATAAATAAATAAATAAATAAAAACTCTAAAGATTTTACAGCCAGCCTTTTCTAGGGTGAAGAACAAAGTAAGGAACAGTCATGCAAAGCTGGTTTTGAATACTGAATTTGTAAATTAGAAACCTGCCTCTGATTGAGTGCATGTCCAGATAGTATCTCTTCTCACAACTAGTTGCTTTATAAGACCTAAGCTTCTCTTTTTCTGATTTTTAGAGATCACCATTGCCAGTTTCTTCTTGTTCTTAGTGATCTCCCTTATAGCCATACTAGAAAAGACTGAGAGACGTAACAGCTACTTCTTGCTGTGCATTGCAAGATACTCAGGGTATTACCCATTCTCACAGCCACCATCCTGTGATGGCCCATGCGTTTTTACTCTATTTCATCATGCATAACTTACATGCAAAAGCAATGCATTCTTGTGTATGTGCTTGCAGGTCATCCAAAACAGATGGCTTTGTTAAATACCTAAACATTCTTCACTTTTAAGTAATATTAGTATGTTACTGCTGAGTGAGGAGGTTAACACTTGAGTTTTGATGGCAAAAGCTCATTGACAAGCAATGTTACTATATCTGCTTGGATTATCAAAAGAAATGTGATTTTTTTTTAAAGAAGGAAAGTACTGATTCAAATTCCAAAATATCTAATTAGGAACGTCTTTTAAAATGAGAAATTAAATAGGTGTCGGCAGACTAGAGACATTTAATGAGCTGACTCAGAAACCTTTCACCCTCATAGGCTGAAGTTCAGAGCTTGCTAGGGAATGGAAACAAAGTCGCTGGTGTCATTCTTTTCTCTGTTTGTGCAAATGGCAAAACTATTTAAGACAGTACAATTAACAGTTGGCAGAAGAGAGACCTAGCACTGACTGGCAGTGCAACTGCATTGAAGGTCAAGACCCATTTCCACTCCAAAAGCAAGTAGGAAGTAAAATGCAGATGAGTTCATGCATATTCTTTTTTTTTTAATAGAAAGGAGTCTAATGGTGTCTAATGTCTAGTTTTTTTACATCTCATTTCCCTCCTTGTCATCTTAGTTGAATAGATGTATACTGCAGACCAAATGTGTTGCAAACATCTGTAAYGACTTGAAGTTCTAAGGAACTGGTTTGTTTAGACCCAAGTAAGTGTGACAGTGTTGCAGAGTTCTAGAGACTGTTTGTGGTTATGGCAGAGTTCAGGTGATACAGCGATCATCTTTGCAACAGAATGGGTTTGTTTCTTGGAAGAGCACTGATTTTTAAATATCCTTCTTTAATCCTTACTATTGTAAGTACCTGATTGTTGGATGGAGCTTACATATTTGAATGTGAGGTCAACATTAACTTCACATAGTAATGTGTTTGTCAGCCTACTTTGGCTGACTATTCTGTGCTCTTACCCAATTGTATTGTCTTCAGATGTGTGTTATTGGTTTTACAAAGCATTTCTGATCAACAGTTAGTGAGCCAATAACAACTCTTTAAACCCTTTCCAGGCAGTTTTTGAAACTTTCTGATCAACTTTGCTGAATGTTTTATCTTGGTGCTGGAAAGGAGCATTAGGATAGAAAATTGGAAACCCTCTCACTTCCCCTTTCACAGGAGATGGGAAAATTGATGGGTGGGATCTTGATCTACTCATATGGTGACAGTATTGCCATAGAAATTTAGAAGATAAATGCAGGTTTTAATATTAGAGGAATATGCTAGAGGGAGAGAATGGCTGAAGATGAATAGGGTCATGGATAGAAAAAATGGAAATGCTTCTGAAGTCATTTTTCAGCATTCCAGGGGAAGTTTTTTCCCTATTACAGAGAGAAACTGTGTCATTTCTGTAATTGCTTTGTCCTGGATATGTAGGAAGGAAAGCAGACTTAGATTTTAACAGGAGACAGTAAGTGACAGGCTGTTGTCTGATAACTCTAGGAACATTGGAAGATTGTAAGCTCAGAAAAGAATGCTTGAATATTAGGCATAGAGACAACTAAAGTGTTTCCTCTGTCCTATCCTTTGATTTGAGATACCAGGCACATAGTAGCTTTAGATCATTAAGACGAGTTTGCCACTAAATGGGATACTTATTTTTAACTACAGAATTGACAGAAGGAAGGGGAGTGTGAATTCTATTCCCTTAAAAAATCTCTGTGCCCCTCTACTAATTAATGAGTCGGTGAGGATTGGGTGACTTAGATAATGTGAATRTTAAGCATTTATATTCAAGCCTGTCTACAGAATCACAGAATGGTTAAGGTTGGAAGGGACCTCTAGAGATCATCCAGTCCAACCCCCTGCTCCAGCAGGGACCCCTAGAGCACGAGGCACAGGGCGGCATCCAGGTGGGTTTTGAAGACCTCCAGAGAAGGAGACTCCACAGCCTCCCTGGGCAGCCTGTTCCAGGGCTCTGGCACCCTCACAGTGAAGCAGTTCTTCCTCACATGCAGATGGAACTGCCTATGTTGCAACTTGTTCCCATTAACCCTTGTTCTGTCACTGGGCACCTCTACAAAGAGTTTGACCCCTTCCTCCTTACATTCTCCCCTCAGGTACTTAATACATATTGATCAGATCTCCTCTCAGTCTTCTCTAGGCTAAAAAGGCTCAGCTGACTTAGTCTTTCCTCATATGATAGTTGCAGCAGTCTTTTAATCATCATCTTTGCTCTATGCTGGACCCTCTCTAGAAGCTCCACATCACTCATGCACTGGGGAGCCCAGAACTGCACCCAGTACTCCAGATTCGTCCTCACCCGAGCTGAATAGAGGGGTAGGATCCTCGACCTCGAGAGTCAATATATCTTTGACTCACTATTGCAAACAAAAAACAACAACAAAAAAAACAGGTGCATCTTGTAAAGTGAAATAGATGATAGAGGTTTAATGGTCTTTAGAGGCTTATGAGAGTAAATAATTTGACTTCTGGAATACCTGAGAAAGACAGGTTTTTTTCCTCCCTGCTTTCCAGTTGGTAATGGGAAAGACTAGCTGGAGGTTATCCTTCAAATCTGCATATTTAAAATTGTAAGAATTGTTTCTTTTAGAGCCTTCTTTGGGAAACTTCAGGCAGAATGAACCTCTTTTGTTTCCTTTCCCACAAAGGACCTTTTCCTTAGCTGAAGTTTCCTGGCCTAGAGGTTTGGAGGGACTTTAAACACCTTCTGCAAGTGATATGTGGACAGCGCGTTACGCCTGTATATATTTTTATTTTGTTATATCTGTTTACTTATCCCTAATCATCAATGCAGAGGCCAGAATAGACTTGTTCAGAAATCTGCCCACCATTTGGCTTGTCTCATCTGACATTCATCCCCTCCTCAGCAGCAGGTGTCAGGTTTACGGTTGCACCACCCGAATGCTTTCGTGATCCCCCGCTCCATTGCTAGCTAAGCCCAGGGCTGCTCAGCTTCGGGGTGGCTTTGGGCACGTTCAGTGCAACATGACTGAAGGTTACATGTCATGCATATATAGATTGTAACTATGCACTCAGCTTACAGGGATAACTGTGCTTTTGTCCTGGACTCATTTCACGAATGTAAAATGCCAAGCTGGTTATGCAGTTGTGTCCCTGTTGAGTCACTGTCTGTCATTAGTGCAACTGTGGCRAGTGCTGCAGGGGGAGGCCAGTAATTTCTGGTACTCAAGAGCTGACCTTGGGATGGGAGGAGGGTAGGAATTAGCGTTACGGCATCCTGCAATTGAGATACCATACTAGGAAAAGAGAGGAGCAGTTTCCAGTAGCTTATCAGAGCTGGCAGGGCTGTGTAGCCAGAGCACTTAGGTATACAGTCCCAGGCTGATACTTCTTTAGAGGGCCCAACTAATTTTCTATAGCTTTGAACTTAATATTTCAGAAGAACATTGGGAGAGATTTTATTGTGCTGCAGCAGCTTATTTCTTTTCCTTAACAAAACAACCACCCAGAGAGGCAGTATTTGGAGCAATCAGCTGAGTCATGGTCATTCTTTGTAATGATTAATTATTTGAAAATGAATTTTACATTTGCRATGTATTTCTTTTCCTGCTGTTCATAACAACTAAGTGGTTGAACACTGTGAGTAATTCTGTCTAGCTCATGCTAGTGCAAAGGGAACAGCTGCTCTGTATTTTCAGTGTTCCAAACAATAGAAGAAAATTTGCATGAAGGGAAAAATAGGTTTAATATCATAAGCCCTCTGTACAAAAAAAAAAATGGAGAACTATTCATAGGGCCATGACATTTTTTAAGCAGTGCAGGAATATTTCAGGTGCTCTCATCTTCAATGTGTTGGTAGTTTTGYGTTTGCCAGACGCCTTTGTGAATCCCACAGGGCACTAAGGACGTGTTGTACGAGCTGTGACAGTCCAGGGCAGATACCACCAATAGATGGGAATTGCATTTGGCTTGGCAACTAGCAAAGGAAAGTGCTTCCTCCCCTCCTCTGAACTCTTTATGGCAAAGGGATTATGGACAGACTTGGTAAGGTGTTTTCACAGCCAGAAAGGTTCCTGAAGTGTCCCCAGTTTCGGGAAGCCTGCTCTGGTGTTGATTTTCACTTAGCAGAGTGGGAAGGGCGAGACCTTTCCATCTAGCAAAGTGCTCCTTTTTACATCTCACTGTGCAGGGTGAGATGCACAGAATTAATGTTCCTTAACCATCGGGTTAAAAGCTCTCTGTCCTCTTATCTGAGAGAAGTGCTTACCTCTCTTCACCGGCTGAGCTAAGCCTTTCATATTTGCAAAATGATTCAAGAATCTCRCTTGGAAAGCTCTGTAGAAGTGTCAGATGTTATTATGTACTTCGTTGTTCCAAGTGACAAGAAGAAAATTGCAGAAAGTAAGCCGTCATTTTTATGAATCAGAGTCCTCCCACTTCCTTTCCACTGCTTAGCAATTTTTATGCCAAAAAAAGGAAGGATTTTTTTAAATTCACAACTGTCATGAGTGATGATCCCCAGCCCACACCTGGCTTTTACATGGAATATTACATTTCTGAGGCCTGAGATGCATCTCTCAGGTCCTGGCAAAAATAAAAAAAAAAAGTAAAACTGTCTGGGATTTAAACAAAAAAATACTTTCTGAAAAAAATAAATGGTTTTAGAAGGAATGAAGACTACCAAAGAGTAAGCTGTTGCAATTTGCAAGCCAATCTGAAAATGTGGCTTTTTTTCCTTTGTAGTTTCTAGCGTGTGATTGCTCCAGATGTCAATTTAGATCAATMCACCTTTTTGCTATGAGCACAAGATGTGGATATGAGAGCGAGTAACTAAGTGTGCTTCGCCTGCAGTATTGCCTCCCTGGTAGCCATTAAAATGGTAACTGATCTTAGCTCCAGAGATAGCAAGCGAATGGTGACGGGGGCTCTCCCAGAGGAAAATATGGGGACTGTTATAAGCAGCTTCCTCTCCTTGTGGGATATGCAGGGAATATAAAATTAGAGAGCTGAAGTAGATGGAGGGGCTATTCCTCCTTCKCCTCCTCTTTCTCCCGTGTCTGGCAGGCTCCATTCTGCACCCAGTGAGCAAGGAGGATGGAACATCCCCACCTCCCAGCAGGTTTGAGCACAAAGGCAGGAAAATCTGCTCAGTCTCCAGAGTGGCTCCTAGTTACCATCAATTCGTTCAGAGGTGGTGAGTTCATTTTCCAAGTTCACGCCAAAGTCTACTAGAGAGAGCAAAATGCAGAAATTGGAAAAGCCAGTCCTGGCCCTGGCCACACGAGCGCTGCGCTGTCGCGCCAGCGACTACCAGGAATCTGGGCTTAATCTTCAGAGCAGAAGAGATTCGGTTTTCAGTAATTAAAAAAATACATGCATTTAACTCACCATCTTCTAGCTTGCTGCGTCTGGTCCTGCTTCAGGGAGATGCTTGAAGCTTGGAACAATTCCAGCGATTAACAGTTTGTCAAACAGTTCATTCCTGACATTTTTAATTTACGGGGAATACTTTTTTCTACTTTTTTTCTTTAAAATGACAAAAATAACAACCCCTGTTCATTCCTGTGCCGCGCTCTCCACGTGTCCGCAGTGTCCGGGCTGCCCTGCCAGCGGCACCACCAGGCCTTGTGCTCCGTCCTCTCGAGGCCGCACGGCCTCCGCGGCGCCGGCCTCGCGCCCTTCCTGCCTGCAGCCCTCGGGAAGACAGGATTAACCCCGGGAGCAGGCAGCGGGAGCGAGCGCCCTGCTCGAATACTCTGACTCTGCTCTAAAACATTAGCACTTATTTTCCGGAGAGCTGGAATGGAGCAGCACCCATGTACGTATGAGATTAATTCTGACCCTCGGGGTATGATCAGATACAAAATTGTGAGAAAACAAATTTTCCAAAACCTGAAAACCATAGCTCATTGCTGCTGTCTGCAAGCTCTTGAGTCTGGTTGCTAGTGCCAGAGGGAGAGTCTCTCTGTCATTCACAATTTTTTGCTCTGTCTTTGAATTATTTTTCTGACCAGCCAAGGCTTTGGGGCTGATTTCTGCCTCTTACAGCAGCTTGACAGAGCTCTRATTCCAGCAGCTGCTGAGAGTATTTGAAGGGCATAACAGGCTCAAGAGTTTGGCCACTTGCAACTACGCAGTGTCTCAGTTGGGTGTGTTTCTGTGTGCAGCATATCTGGAAACATCTAGACAACAATTTCTTTCTGGTTTAGGCTTCATAGCAAATGCATCTGCTTTACAAATAACTAGAAGTTCTTTCAAAAAGATCCTTTAAAGTGAAACTATCTATTTTTCTTAAGGAAAGCGGAATTAAGTTTCTTACTCAGGTGCAACAAGATTCAGTTGTGCTGGAGACTGATCCTTCAGGCCCTGGAGGCGATTGGCCCTCATTGCTGCCAGGTTAGGCCAGATCATCGTGGCTCAAAACAGCATAACTTGGTTATCAGCAGGCCTGCAGCAGCGCTGCTTTTCTGCAGCAAGGCAGGCACTATGCAGGAAAAAGCCCTCTTAGCAAATGGGAACACACCAACACATTCATTAGCAAAGAAAATGAGTGGCTTTTGCTAAGACTCTCTTAATAGGTTGAACTCTTTGGATTTGGCTAGAAGAGCTGGCCCTTGAATATATATTCAACCTAGCAGAGCKAAGTGCAGCTGTACCGTGTTCCTTTCACCCATTAACTGTTGTACAGAATCAAGCTGATGTGATTTTTTTGATCTTAAAATATTCAATAGCCAAAGATTGCTGATGTAATTACTCCCTCTCTACTCCTGATTACAGAAAATCCCTATAGGGTTTGTCCCATTTTGCTGCCTGTCAAGCTGCAGAGCAGGCAACAGTCAACATATTAATAGGTGTTTTTAACATGATTAATTGGAATTTTAAGCGGGTTGGTTTCTTCTGAAATATCCTGCTTGCCGAGTTTGACTTGCATTTGCAACTGTCCGTCTGTGATTCTTCATTTTCATGGGATCCTCTCAACCCCTTTTCTCATTTGCTAAACATATGTGATTTTTCCGTGTAAGGATTTACAGGAGCCTGTTTTATCCCTCTTTATTTGCTTGCTTTATTTGCTGCTTGCCTATGCAGCCATATCATCAAATTGCTTTTCCACATTACGGGAGCAAACAGCCATTGAGCAGAGCAGATCCTTATTGACCACCTGCTTTGCAAGGGAAACAGCTACTCCAAATGGTTCCCAAGTTGCTTCTGCAGATGGACCCGTCGTGTTGCCTCTTCGGGTCATTTTGTTTGTTTTATTTTTAATATTGTCCTAAGGTGAAATATTTTTCATGGTTTGTCAAACAAGATTATGAAGTTGGCTGTAAAACTATGACTCATCTCAGCATTCTTTTTTCTCTTGAAGAATGATCTGGGAGGAAAGTGAAAATGAAAATGTCAGAACTGTCATAAATAATGTGAAAATGACAGCCGGGGGAGAGGGCTCGCAGACCCTCTTTCTATCCACAGCCACAGAAAGGAAACCAGTCTTGGAAGGCCAGATCTGAGACTGATGCAAAGTTTTATCAAGCTCGGTACATCATCCAGGCCCCTTGTCCAAAATATCTCATTTTTGACTTTTAATTTGGAGGAATTGATGTTCTCATTCATAGCTAGGAGTTCAGTGTCTGGGCTTATAGTTCATATTCTTAGCTAATTCTATGAAAAGTTTCATCTCCCTGGTATTTTATTCCTTTAGGCAATGTTATATCCATAGCATAATTAAACTGGTAATTTTTTGGCTCTTTGTTTTGTCAGGAAAACACCCTTMAAGATTTTATGATGTGGTGGGTTTTTGTTTTGTTTTTTCTTGTCTGTTTGTGCGTGTCAAAGGAGAGGAGAGGAAAATGATGGACGAGCAATAAAAATTAAATTCTTGATATTTTTTCAGCACTGTTAATAAGTCTCATCTGCCACACTTGATAGCAGTGTGGGGACACTACATTATATTGCCAGTTGCAAACAGTGATTTTGAGGACACACTCACCTATTAGCTTGGCAGCAGCCATAGCAGTCAGAAGCCCCAGAAACCTTGACTTTATTAACAGTGTTATTGCAAAATGTCAAAGGAAACAAGTGAAAACAAACTTTTCTGTCATTTTTTTTTTCTCTTTTAAGGAGGAGAATCTTACTGGGGAAAACCTTTTAAGGATGAATTTAAGCCCAACTTGTCCCATACAGGACGTGGAGTTCTCAGTATGGCCAACTCAGGACCTAATACAAACAAGTCACAGTTGTAAGTAGTCACTTGCTGTTTGTATTTTGTCGTTTCCCTCTAGACATTGTGTCTTAGACTGTTAAGAAAAAAATGACATTTTATGAGCTACTTTTCAAAGTTCAGTCAAGTGAAATATTCTGTCAAGTGCTGCATATTGAAATCTGCGTAGCTGCAGCTGCTCTTTCCCACTAAGAGCCACATGAAGTGTGTCAAGAAGACCTGTATGTATTTATCACATCATCATTAACCTGCTTTTTCTGGTTTTGTAATTTGTAGGTTTGTCTCCCTACCGTTATTCCTACAAAATTACTACACCTATCCACTCTGTCTAAATTTAGCCATATATTGAAATTCTCAAAAAGATTCATGAAATAAAACATAAACTCTCTACATATGTTAATTCTTTTGGTTGCCCATTTTTAAGTAAAAAGGAACAGCTCTAGATTGTTCGAAGTGCAGAATCTCAGTGAAAGAGTACAGAGTATGGGATTGAAAATGATTTCTTTGTCTGTGTACAAAAGCAGAATTCTCATTTAAGATTTTTTCTTAAAAATGGGAAAATTTTTTCTTAAAAAATGAGAAAAACTAACAAGTGGAAAGAAAAACAAATGAAATTTTGAAATATTCTTCTAGTATTTATTTGCTTCATGTATAATGTTAATACAGAGATTTGTCTTTTTAAAATCTTTTTAAAGTGTTCTGTGTCAAYTGAACCATTTATTAGTTGCTCTCTAATGACTGAAATAGAAGAATGTTCATTTTTATTGGTAGCCCTGGGAGAGAGTCTGGATGGGGAGCACACTGTGCAGCATGTCAGCCCTGGAGGACAAGGGGGGGATTTGGGCTTGGTCTTCCAAGGGGCTGAGATTTATTACAGCTTGGAAAAGATGCACTGGTGGCCAGTCAAAGGGTCTTTACTAGGCTTATTCACATACTTGAGGCTGAGCATATGTAGGGCAGTGTGCAGTATTTAATTGCTGTGGACCTTACTTTAGGTGTGAATTTTATTGCAAGTACTCATATGCTAAGTTATGGGAAAGAGATAATTCGCGTCATCACAGACATGCTCACCTATCTCCCTAGAATTTAATGTAAAGGAATGTAAAATTCCTTTATATGTGAGGTCCTTCGGAGACTCTAGCCTCTCATATTTGTAAAACTTTATGTCAATATTTAAAAACCTTAACAACTGTTGTGACCTTAGGAACAATGCGAAGAGCTCTCCAGGTAGGCGATAGTCACTGCAGTGCTGAACAAGGTGGGTTCCTGGCATAAAGTCAATGCAACACAAGTGCATGCAAGTGGCACTAGCTGGAGCTGGAGTGATGCTCAAGACTTCTCCCTCAGGATTAGCGGGAATTAGGTTAATTCCATTGGCCTTATTTTATTTTGATTGCTGTGATGGCTCAATTTTTTTAATTACAGTATTGCCTAATTGATTATTTGATCATCTAATTACTGGATATCTGGGAATAAACTGGTGCACCGAGCACATGCACCAGACTAAGATTCATCATGTGGCCTATGCCAGAGTTTGTATTCTCGGCAGCATCTCCATGCTTTTCCTAGGGCAAAAACTGCGTCTTAGTAGATTGTCTGGCAAACTGCAGCCCCTCCTATTTGCAATCATACAACTTCCCGAGGCAGTTGCTTATATGGAAAAGTACTTCTGGAATGTTTATGTATTTTTAGCTGTCTCTAATGTAGCGTAGCAGATGGAGACGGGGAGGAGAGCCAGCACCACCCGTCCAGCCAGCACAGGCCATCACGGTCTGCAGACCACAGTGTGGAAACCTCTGGCTCATACTCTTGCAGTCCAAGTCTTCCAAAGAAGTGTTAAGCTTTAGAGAGGAGTTTTAGTAATGAGCATTGGTTTGGGTTTGGTATTTTAGTTGCCATGTGTAGGTTTAAAAATAAAACAAGAATCTATYAAAAGTCCAAGTTTCTCTATTTTTTTCCACTTTCTAACACTTGTATCATGTTTATTATTGAAGCACAAATTGGCTAGATCCAGAGAAAAGTGGATTATGGGTGTGTCGATGTAATGGAAACAAAATACAGAAAGTGAATATCCTAAAAATTAAAGCTTACTCTGGCAGGTGGCTGTTGTGTTATATAACTGTGAGTGCTGGATGCAAAATCCCAAGCATGTGCAAGAGGGAACCAGATCTTACTGCCCTGCAGCGAGCAGGAGTGCTACCTGCACGAGTCTTGGAGGATRTTAGTGAGGTTCAAGAATGAGTCCAAACTCCAGAAATCCAAGGTGAAATGCACCCAGGAGTTGCTGAGAGCTGCTTGGTCCGTGGTGCTCGTGGAGGAGCGGGGCCCGTCTCCTCACAGGGGCTGCTCTCTGTTTTCCAGCCTAACTGGCTGCAGCTGAGCCTTGGGGAGATAAGATGCTAATTGTTGTGTCTCTTCCTTCCAGTTTCATCACCTTCCGTTCCTGTGCRTATCTGGACAAGAAACATACGGTGTTTGGAAGGTAAGTGAGGGGTCATCTCAGATCAAAGCCCTCATTGTCCTGGTTGACCAGTTTGCTTGGTCAGTACATGCCAACCGCTCACTGGTGTCAATCCTCAGACACTGCTTTTTGTCTCTTTATATCCTTCCACCTCTGCAAAGGGCTTTATTATTAAGTGTTATCCTTCTGTGTGTGACTCTCTGAGGAGTCAGGAACAAAGTAATCAGCATCCTGTAACCARTCATCGTAATATTTGTGCCTGCTARTTGCTGAGATCCGAGCGATTACTCCTCAACGCTGTTTTCATCCTTTTAGGAACTGTCAACCAATGAGTCAGTCATGACTGGGCTRCTCTTCATCACAGGGTAGAGCATAGAGCTGTTGCATGGTTCAGGTGTTTTGGCCCCTTCGATTCTTTATCTTTGACATCTGTCATGGTGTATGTGTTGTGTGTGTATATATGTCCACATACTCAAAAATATTAGCAATGCCAAGGCCRTAATGGGACATCGTTCTTTATAGCAACTGTTGCAGTATTCCCCAAAGCCTTTTCCACTCAAGCCCTCATGTGATACAGATCAAGGTATATATTACAGAATATATTACAAAATATTTATGTTGCAGAGAGAAGAATGTGCGTGTTTGCTATTAGCATCTCCTGCTGCAGATGCAAGTCCTGATTATAGTATTTACTGAGTGGTGAATAGATGTTCTAACAAATGCCTTGATGAGGGGACAGGAGGTGTGATTTCCCTAGCCCACTTTGTTGGGGCCTCCCAAGGGTTTTACAACCACTTTTAAATGACTTTTTTTTCTAATTTCCCTAATTTTATCCATTTGAAAAGCAGCAATTGAAARGAAGTGCATATGCTATTTACTTTGATTGGGTGTTGTACAATAGAGTTGTACAAAGAAAGTGATACATTTAATCCATCTGTTCTGAGTGCAAGTTGTTGAGGCACAAGTTGGCTTCATTTTAAACACCTGTAGTATTGCCATTAGCCCTGATACTGGCCGTGCAGTAATTACTCCCTTTGAATTATATTTCTTTTTCCTTTTTCAAGTCTGTCCTAGCAGAATTGAGAATTCCTTTGTCATCTGGTGAAAGCAGATAAATAAAGCTCATCCTAATACTTAAAGTTGAGAGCGAGTGTGTTCTTGCAGGAGTTGCATTACGGGTGTCTTAGGAGTTGCCTTTGTTGTTATTCCACTCTCTACTCAAGCTACAACTTGAGTCTCCTTGCAAAAATCCCTTTAAATCCAGTATGGTAATGCCATTAACCTGAGCTTGCYCCCTCATCAGGATTGGGATAGCTCAGCTGCAAAAAGGGCAGTTCTTGGGTTCGGGATGCAGCCTGGCTTGCTGAATATCCTGCAGTCCCTCCAGGGGCTCTTTCCCAAGGATTCAACAGCTCTACCACCATTCACCGACGAGGAGCACAGAGAATGGCAGAGCTTCCTGCAGGGAACGTGCGCCAGAAACCTTCACACCGTGCAGGACATCTCRAGCACTGCACTTTGTTGCCATAGGGAGGTGGTGCTCTGAGAACTGGAAATTGTTCATTGTTGAAATTGTTGTCTTAGAACCGTGTTTGGCTCCCCGTGTAAAAAAGTAACATCTTCATCTAAACACAGATGCAGTGAGTTACAAAGTGAGTTTTACCCTGAGCTCTCCTGCATGGAAAAAGATTAATTCCAAGAATGTAAAAAATGGCAGTGCCAGAATAGGTGCATTCCTGTCTTCCCATGCTTATCTTCAAGCTAAATATTTGAATAATCTAATTTACCTATAGATTTAATATAGAAACTGAGTGCATGCAGATCTTAAGATTTGTGTTCTGCAATGAAAATCCTGTTGCCCTCTTTACATTTATTTATTTTTATAGGCCATAAAAGCCAAAAGACTCAAGAGATTATTTCTTTAGTGAAACTCCAGCTTCAGTTTGCTGCTTTAGATCCTGGGTGTTTCCAGGATTTAGTGCCTGTATCTGATCTTAGACTGTACAGTACAATAATATCTGGGAAGCATATCTAGGAATAATATCTAGGGTTAAGAATAGAATGAGGCCATGAAATCAGAATTCTTTGTTTCCATGAATGTAATATTGGATTGTGTTGATGGGATGATTGCTATCCTGCTGTGCCTTTCAGATCGATTGAATCTTTTCTCAGTGAATATAAAAGCCAAATCTTCCCTATGAGCTCAGCTCTGTCCTCAGCTCTTTCAGCGCAGCTCTGGTTCATGTTAGTGTTTGACATGAGTGTCATGGAGAGCGGAATTTGACCTGTTTGTAATGGAGAGAACAGAAAAAGGACAAAATTCTCCTTTTTTTTTTTTTTCTTTTTTCTTTTGGGCATGTGTGGGATGAGGCATTGATAAGTTCCATCTCCCAGAGCTGCATTTTACACACGTCCCCACTGGTTGGAAATACAGCTTTTTAATGGTAGTTGTTACCAAGTGTTGAGCTGCTAAATGTGTTTGAAAACCAGCAGCTGAAGGCAGTGGGACTGGGGAAAGAAGGGGACGTGTCCCTGGCTTTGGGTATGTCCCTGGCTTTGGACAGAGGAATTTTTATGCCTCGGGAGAAGCCGTGAGCTGCAGGACAGGGAGGGAATCGCGCGGAGACTGCACTGCCCACCTGGCAATAACACTGCTAGATGCTACTGAAACCAAAACATGATTTGGGCACGAAGGGACGAAGCAGCGAGGGAGGATGGAGGTGCTGGCTGCTCCAGCAGAGCTGCCTCGATTAACTTGGTAATTACCCTTTCTAGTAATTACCATTTCTCCAGACTTAGAGAATGCTGTAATTACCTTGAAAACTAACTGGAGGCTTTTGTTGGTTTCTAGCTGCCTGGTAAGAGGTTTAATTCAGAAACCCAAATAATGTAAACCAGCTGACTGGTCCCTGCTCTGCAGTGTGGAAACGTTTGCAAGCGGCTGCTGCAGGAAGGGCCTGCCCCACATTCCCTGCCGGACACGCAGCGACCGAGAGCTCGGCTGCGGCATGAGCTGGAGCAACAGGACAGCCAGGAAAGCTGCTTTAGGCCAACATTACTGTCTGTCACTGGCACACTTTATGAAATGTAGATGCCAGCACATCCTGTCTGTGTTTTTGTTATGTTTTCCATTGCTCTCATGGCTCATAGTGCCCGTGGGTCAGAGATATAGTGCATTTGGCCCTGTGAACGTGGAAACAACGATAGTTTCTGCCCCAGAAAACTCACTGTATAAGTAGAAAAGAGCCTGTATATAGATGCAGGAAAGTTAACGGTAGTGRCCCATCTCAGCCTGCCTTTCACGTAACAGCTTGTGCTTCCTTGAGAGTCAAGGAAAAYGAAATCCTCATGGAAAATGAAACAGCTTCGTGGATGCTTTGGGGAGTTAAAGGGACACATAAAGACCTGCATATTTAAATTGCTCATGAAAGGTCATGGAGGCGTCCTCATCAGCAGGAATGGGAAAAGATCTGAGAAATTTGGGCGAGCTTTGGGACAAGGAAGACCTGGTGGGCGCTGAGGGAAGGCRGCTTGCAGGGATGTGGTGGGATGAAGCTGGGCAAGAGATGGAGCAGTGGGGTGGGCAGGGTCACAAGGCCGGGAGCAGCYGGTGCCGCAGCGCAGGGTGGCCCTTAGAGCAGCACTTGTGTTTGCCGAGGTCGAGAAGGGGACGTGGTGACCGAGGCAGGAGATGAGGTCCTGGAGGCCAATTTTTCGCTTCCTGTGCAGCTGCCTGTATCTCTCGCAGGGATATTTAGCTCTCTGGRGAGCTGTGCCACTTGTTCCTGAGTTTCCCAGGAATAATGAAGAAGGCACTTTGGGAAATCTCAGACTGGGTCAAGGCAGAGGCTGGTGCCTGCAGCTGATGCACAGGCAGCTTTGGCATCTGCTTTGGTTCCTCCTCCCCTTGCCAGGTGCTTTGTTGGGAGACTGTTGTGTTTTGGGGGATAAACCTCATTCTGTATTAAATGGGCCTTAGCCTCTGCTTCAAGTTCTGTACTGTGGTTCCTGTTGTCCTTTAAAGTGATTAGCTGCTTATAACTACTGCCATGTATTATTCAGCTACCTGGATATAGTTAAATAATGCATGGTGTCTGTTTCCATTTGTAACACTCGCTGTCTCCTTTGAGTTGGTGAAACCTTACTGCCTTCTAAGCTGGGAAACTCATGTTTTTGTTGCTCTTTTCMTTTAGTACATCTGAAGAACAGAGAAATCATAAGACAGGGCAAGAAGAGCTGATTTTGCTGCTGCATCTGTTCAGGGAGCCTGATGCAATTGTGCTCGGCAGGGTCTGCTCCCCAGGCCCCACCGCAGCGGGCGCTGGGTTGCCAGAGCTGGGCTGGTGGCTCCAGCCTCTTTCCAGACAGTTGTATGAGCCCAACAGAGGAACCCTGCGCCCCAGCAGAGAAATCCCAGTGTGCTGAGTTCATCTGTTCAGTCTGGTTTCCAAATGCTGCTTTCTTCCAAGCACTGTTTTCCAAGCTTTCAGTGGCCACCATTACTTATCTTACCTTCTAGATTAAGCCCTTATGTGACACTGAGATGTTTTGACTGCATCTGTGTTGCAGGTCAGAAATGTTTGCTATGTTTCAGGTTGGGTGCATTCATAGAAAACACGTTGTACCAAGTGAGTGTATGTGTTTGTGCATACTTACATACTCTGTGTGTGCATAAATGCATGTACTCTTTTTATGAAAGTAAGCTTGACAGCAGAATGCATTTACAAAATAAAGTTTCCTTCTGGTTTCTGTTTCTAGATTAATGCATTATTTTTCAAAAGTCCAGACATTGTTCTTGTATTGTCTGCTAGCCAGGAAACTCTATCATCCTGGACCACTGCCATCACCAGCATTGCRTAAGGCTTAATTCTTATAGTTCTTCTAAACAAAAGCATAAGAAATAGGAAGTCCATGTGTGAATGTCTGGGAGACTTCTGAGGAGTCACAGTTTCATTGGGGGATCAGCACCAACTAAAGTAGCAGTGAAAATTTGTCTGGCATGTTGCAAATGAGTAGAGCTCCCCCAGATACTTCACTTGAAGTTCATGCAAAGCTACTGGCAATGACTGCAAGACAAGGTTACCAGTTTGCATAAAGGAACCATAACAGGAAGTAAGATTTTAAATAACATCTGTAAATTTGAGATGCAAAGTTTTCCAGTGCCACTTCAGGTTTCAAGAAAACAGAATTGCTCGAGTAAGGGTAGCTTTGTGCTATTGTGACTATGCTAACACAGAAATCTAAATGTACCTACCTCATCACCCATGCCTAAGTGTAATGCAACATTTATCAAGCTCCACTAAAAATACAACAAGCTGTCTCAGGGAGGCTGAGCTAAATATATAGTTGAGATCATCTTTCTCTGCTCAACATCTACTGCAAGCAAACAGCAGACCTGTTTCGGAGTCCTTCTAATGTAAATAGTGTCTTGAAGGTACCTTCCTTTTCCTTGCAGGTTATCGTGTGAACATGTGTTTAACCCTCACCAAAGCTGACTTGGTCAGTGTAAAGCTAAGTGTGAGTGAGGCCATGCAGAGCAAGTAGTGGTGCCTACGTGGGCCCGAAACAGGTTAAATTTGTTCGTGCCCTTCTCCCCGCTCCTCTTCTGCTCTGCCCCAAACTCAGCGGAGCTGGTGCTGCCTGGGGAGGGCTGGCACGGTGTCCCTGGTCGCCTGCGCCTGGGCCCTGTGCAGGGGAGGAAGGGATATKGGTCCCAGCTTCCAGACTTTATATTTGGTTGTAATTAAACCAATAGGCAGAATTCCTTATGTTTGGACTCAGATTTGTTTGTAGAACAGATTATATCCCTTTTTGTACAAGGTAGGGTATTTAATAGTAGTGCTCTCAGAGATCTTTTGCATGCCTTGATGTATTTATCTGATCATTTTTCCATATATCACCTCTACAGGCTTTTTTTCTTAAAACCAAGTGTGTGAGGTCCTTTCTTTCTAAGCCCAGAATATGATGTTGTCCTTCTTGAATTTTAATTTTTACTGATGAAACACCTAGTCCAGCTGGGCCTCATCCTTGACAAGGCTTCCAAGTGATACCCTGGATATGATTTCCATAACTCTCTTGTCTGAGTCAATTTTTATAAACAAATTTATTTTTATGATTTGTTGGTATTATGACAGTTTCTAAAGACATAAACTGATACTGAGAATTCACTGTGCTGACACTGTAGTTTGCACAGAAATAGTCTCTATGTAAAAGGTTAGTGAAGGCAGGAGTATAAAAGAATAAAATTTTCCATTTTAGAGCCAACCAACCAAGAAGAAAAGAGAATCATRTGCCCTGCAGGCCCATAGCTCCTGTGACATGAGAAGGACATCGTGCCATCAAATGTGGTCATAGAGAGCAAATGAAAAGCACCTTGCCTGGAAACAGTTCATGAACATAAGGAAAGTTGCTAGAGGGAACGAAAGCCGGGCTTTGTGGATCTCTTGCCCTAAAAGAGACATCACATCTCTGTGGGAGGAGGTCAGGAACACCAAACTGATGCCCTGGCCCAAGGCAGAGTGCATGTTTCAGTGGTGACGATGCTTCTGCTAATGAGACGATRCTCTTGGGCAAAGAGGAGCCTGTCCCTGCAGCACTTCCTCCCTCTCTGCAGGACGTGCCCTCAGTTCCAAGTGGAGCTTATTTAACAGCTTGCTTTGCTACAAGATGCAGGTTCTGTTAAGTCAAACTGTCACAGCAACAAAAATGACAGMAGATATTAGAACAGCATAGGTCCACAAACAGGCTTAATTAGCACTTAGTRCTATTTTATGGCATCAGAGTGGTAGAGCTAAAAGCCACCAAAACACCTTGACCATAAAACCTTTTGCCTTCTTCCCCCTCCCGCCTTTTAGATTGTGTCAAGATAGCTGTATTTAGGTCRCTTACGACCTCTGAATGCCATGTTTATCACAGCCTTGTAAAATGTTCAAGTGACCAAGTATTCCCAATAGCATTTAATTAGCACAGTGAATGAAGATTTGATGTACTGAAATGCATTAGGGCTAATATTGTGGGAGGTCTAGCCATGGGCTAAGGGAATACTCGACTGAGATTTCCAGTGCGTAGCTGATCTGGCTATTTCAAATTATCGGAACCTAATTAAATGAAAACATACAAGAAGATAATGAATGGAGCTGTTGGCCAGAAAATCCTCCAATATTAAATCAGGAGTTTGCTTTAGGGGCAATTAAAATGCAGTGAATGTATCCTGCACTGTGTGTTAATCATCAGTATTGTAAATGAATCTGATATTGGCCTGGAGGAGGATTTTAAAATTGAGTTTGTTATGAACTTTCAGAAGATCATGCATGGTTTTGAAGCCTTGTGCAGCTCTGGAAAAATTCCCCCAGTGTGCTACCTCCCGTGGCAAACGAGCGGGACTCGTCTGGCTTGCATAAACATTTTGTAATTGCTGGTAGAAGTCATGACCTGATTACAGAGTATCGACAGACCCTTCAGGATTAAAAAGGAGAGGTTTGGAGCAGCAGTGTGACAGCAACAAAGTGTGGGCAAGGACAGAGCCCACGGGGCGGGCATTAGTCGTTCCCTTTGGATCACTTGGACCATGTTATTTTCTCTAACCGAGTCCTCCTTTTCGGTCCTGTTCAGTGTCTCCCCAGCGGTGAGTCCCAGCGAGGGGCAGTGACRCTGCGTTTAGCCCATGAGGTGTTGAATGTGAAGGCCCTGCTTGCCCCCCAGGCTGCTGTGGTCACTGTGTCTCGTTTGGCTGATGCAGCTCTTGGAAGGAGCATGTGGAGGATGGAAAGAGCTCGATGGGAGGGAGGGAAGGAGCCCCTAGGTCCCTGCTGGGCCCGTGCAGGACCAGCACTAGCAAAGGCTGCTGCCTGCACAGACCTGCCTTTCTGGGAGCAAGATGTTGTAACAGAAGCACATGAGTGTGCCAAATGCCTGTGAATACGGTGTATGTTTTTTTCAAATACAAATACTGATGTATTTGTATTTGAAAAAGTTGAGCTATTGCTCATTCCATTGCTATAAAAGTCAACTTAGGTTAAAAAGACAATAATTTACACATTTTGTATGGTGATTTTTCATTAGCAGCATGAGTATCCCTGAGCATGGACCTCATAAAAACATACATGAATTTGAGCTTAATACTTAAAAAACACCATTTTTTTTTATATTTATAAAACTATCAGAATTTGACTTCAGTTTGGGAGAGACGGTCCCGGTCCAGACGCCCCAGGAGGACGGTGCTGCGCAGGGCAGCGCGCCCACGGCTTGGCCTGTGGCGCAGGTGGATCGGCCCAGGGAGGTGGCTGCTGTTGCAGGGATGGAGTTTGAGCACTGGTTTCCTGAGCTGCTCTTGCTCCGGGTTGTCCCACAGCCCTTCACATGGGCTGTGTTTCTGCTTCGCAGCCGTGTGTTTGGCTGTGCTAAAGCAGATGCTGTTCAGCTGCCATCTGCCTTTCTAAGGGATCTGGATTGCTCTGCATCAGTGGCCTGTCGTCTTCTTTATTTACTGCCCTTCTAAGTATAGCTGTTTGCAAACTTAATTGGGGATAATGTTGTGGATAAAAGTGTTAAGTATCTCGGGACCAGAGTACTTTGGAACATACGGACACAGTGGTTCCTGTTCAGAATTAGATCTTGACACCTGTCAGCCAATTTTGTATTTAATGTGTGCTGTTTTCACTTCATATCATTCTGGTTTCTCAATCAAAATATCAGCCGCCTTCCAGAAGTCTGTTCCACTGACACTGTTATCCCTATTAGCCACATCTGCTGTCTCAAAGATAGAAGGTTTTTGACAGAATCTGTTTTCCACAAAACCTTGTTGACTGCCGTTACTTATTTCCTTTCTTTCTTAATCATGTCCTGTCTGCTATTCCATTATTTTGCTGGGGTGGATGCCAGGATGGCTTATAATTATCTGGGTCACCCCATTTATCCTTTCAAAATATCCTTTCCTGGAACTTTCCCATTGTTCCACACTTTTTTGAAAGTGAACAAGCAACAGTCCAGAAATTCTTCAAGCTGAACAGCTTGAAGAAGGTAGTTGGATATTGAAAAAAAAAATCAAGAGTCCAGGGCTCTGACATCCTCCCAAATAAAACCTGCAGCGAGAAGGGTCCCGGTGATATCTCATGGCTTTGACACGATGCTCTGTTGCTTTCCCAAAGCCTTCCGAGAGCTCGCAGGTGAAATCCTCACGCTTCTTGCACAGCTTAATGGCCTTATTGGCAGTTCTATCATTTCTCTCTAATACTGCTGCAGCCTTGTTGTGATTTCCTTTTCTCCTAATAGCATTCTCCTGTCTGACGCACAATAAAAAATAAGCTAAAAATCAGAAGTTAATGAAAACATTTGCTTTCTTGACCAAGTCTGCTGGTTCCGTTTTCAAAGYGCACGGGGGCAGGAAATGAGCTCCAAATGTATGGCTGTAAAGCTAGCAAGTGAATCCGCTTAGAAATGGGTTTGTGTCTTCATGCCCAGATTGCTGTGCACAATGGCTCTTTCTCCGTCTTGCTGGTTTCTGTGCACCAGAAAAGCTCTTTGGTTTTAGACAAATGTTTTTGCTTTGCCTCTTTTGACCCTTCCACATTCTGCTTAATTTTAAATAGAAATCCCACATTTGAAAGAAAATCCTTACCTTCCACATTGATTTAGAATACCTTAAGTCTTCCAGATATGGTTGGTGATTTTTCCTTCCCCCAAAGACAATGGTTGAAAAGCCTGGATAATCCAAACGAGTAACAGACAGAAAATAGATGCATTAGGCTATAAGGAGTGCAGGAATGTTTTGAATCTGCTGTCACAGCTGGCAATTGTGTCCTTCATCTTTTCTAGAGTGGTTGGTGGCTTTGATACTCTGACTGCTATGGAGAATGTGGAAAGTGACCCCAAAACAGACCGTCCCAAGGTAACTCAGAACTGGAGGGGGATGTGCAGGAAGGAACTAGCCCCGGTTCCCTTCACCCTGCTGCCACCTCTCTAAAATGGAGCTTGGGGAAGACAGAGTGACTTGAGCAGCAGCTTCTGATTTCTCTTTTTCTCTCTGTTCGTAGACAGAAATACGAATTGAAGCAACAACTGTTTTTGTGGATCCGTATGAAGAAGCAGATGCCCAGGTGAGGATAGAATTACTTTTTTCCTAGCCCAAAGCCCTTCTTTCCATGATTTTGTAACTTGGTGACTTTAGCTTTCATTCTGACCGGTCCCTCCTAGATTGCTTGCATTTTCTATGTATTTTCTTCCTGTGTCCTGTGCCCTTCTTCCTGCCTCCCACTAACCATGGAGAGCCTTCCTACACGTGTGCCATTCGGCAAGGCCTTGTGTGCCACAGTCACCACTGCTCTCTCGGTGGAGAGGTCTGCAGGGCTCCTGCTCACCGTGGCTTCCCTTCCCAATGTTAGTGCCAGTGTGAGCCAGGTTGCTGCAGCTGAGGAGGGAGAGWGGAGCTTCACATTAACGGCTACAGGCAGCCCGGGTGTAGCTGCCCTGGGGATCTGGCTTTTAAAGCATACCATGCCACCACGACTGTGCTCTTCACCCTTTTAGAGTGCCGTAAAGTTTCACAGTGCTCTGGGCATTGCCTCTTCCCTCTGGACCAGCTCTTGCAACACGTTGTGCTGTTTGCTTCCCACAGGTTGCTGCAGAAAGAGAAAAGGCCCAACAAGAAGAAGCAGCAGCCAAAGCAAAAGTTGAGATAGCCCCRCCAAAGAAAGAAATCCAGACTCCTAAAACTTACCGACAAGGGATTGGAAAATACATTAACATGGCTGCAGCGTAAGTTCTCCTTCTTACTGAGCTAAGATCCCAGCTGATCTTTGCCTGGTGCTTCCGTTGTCTTCGTTGCTGGATGCTCAGGGCTATTCACYGGGTCTCTCTAACAGGCCAAATGTTTGTTTTGTGCCATCAGACTGTGCAAAGGTGCTTGCAAGCAGTCCTAACGGTCAGAATTCCCTCTAGATCTTTTGTTTTTCAAGATGAGAACTTAAAGCAAGCTCTCATTTCTTTATCATTTCATTGTGACCATGTTGGTCCATAATTACAYGGACGTGCTGACTTCTCAGCTTTAGATGTATTTCCACAATACAGAAGTCCTTGAGAGGGAACAGTATTGTCACTTCCCCCATCAGCTTCAACCTTCCCCTTCTGCAGCTATTTCTGAAGGCCACTCTTCCAGAAATGTGTCTTCCATCAGCTTCTCCCCTGCCCAAGGAGCTGCCTTGAACTCGGTGGGTCTGGCGGCCGGGCTTGCTGTGCGGCCCCRGCTGTGCTGGTGCCTGGCTCGCAGCTCCAGCTGCCCGGCACGTCGCTCAGGCTCCTCCTGGGGCATCCTGTCCCGGAGCCCCTGGCTGCACTTGTTGGGACTGGCAGCCCTCCTTGCTTCCCTAAGGACAGGACACAGCGCTGCCTCAGCAGCAGCTCAGCATGGGTTGTGGATAAATTAAAATATATATATATGTTCTTGATTTTTAGCCTTCTGTAAAAGCATTCAGAAAAACTCTGTCCTCTCTGTGCTGCAAAAGGAGTGTATTTATGTGTGCCCCAACCTGTGCACCTCCTTAGGCAGCTTGTACGTGCCTGCATGATGTGCAGGCACAGCAGTGTGTGAGCCCCTATATCAGTTTGATGCATACGTCAGTCAAATAGTCCCTGAGTGTTGTCTTCCTTGGGGCCCTAGGAAGCGCAGTGTGGAAGATGACGGCCCCTCCACCAGCACAGCTGCGAAGAAGGAGAAAAAGAGCTCGGGCTTCGGGGACTTCAGCTCCTGGTAGCAGAGCGAGGAGCCTAGCACCGATGCAGCGCGGTGGGGAAGACGGGGCGGCCTCCCGCGCGTCCCCGAGAGCCCCAACGCCAGCCCGTCCTGGGGAGGGAAGGCACTGCCTGCCCTTCCACCCACAAAGAAAACTGTTGCTTTGTTAAGGCAGCTTAATGCGGCTTTGTTCTCCAGAGAGCTGCGGTCCCCAGTGCAGCTTCCTTGAAGGCTTTTTGTTGTCGTGTGGGGAGCAGAGAGCAGCGTCGCTGCTCCGAGGCCTCGCGGGCSCCTGCGCTGCCCACTGCGCTCCTGTCTCAGGTAATGGTTTCCAGATGAGCCCCATCTGCCAGCCCGACAGATGAATTAACGTGCCGGGGAAGTGCCTGCCTGGCTTTGCCAAGGGGAGGAGAGGCCTCCAGCTTGTTCTGCCCTGCCTGGGGCTTCCCATCCTTCCGAGCTCTGTTTTGCTGCTCCTTAACGTGGACCAAATCTGTCTTCCACAGTCTGTGCCTCTGGGATGGCCCCAGACCGGCTCCACAGGGCCTCCCTGCTCCCTGCAGGCTGAGCTGGCTGCTCCCCTTCCCTCTGGCAGCCTGGGCAGCAGCCGAGCTGCCCGGGCACCCACTGAAGCTGGTTGCTGCCCTGCTGCCTCTCCAGAGCTGTTGTGGCAGCCCACGGGGCCGGGACACCTCGATTCCAGCTTGCCCGCCGGCTCCAGAAGCTACAGCCCGAAGGAACGCACCAGGAACCAGAAGGGTTTCACGGGGTTTGTTTTAGCCATCCCCAAGGCCTGCTGCTTGCTAGGAGCACATCCTGCAGTCTGCCCCGCTATCGGGTTTCTCATTAGAGAAAACRTGATACAGTCAAGAGGAGTGCAGGATACTTACCTTGAATGCCCACAGACCTAATAGGGTGCTCACTAAAGAGTTAGGGGTAGAGACGTAGCAGCCTGTGAAGTTGTAATCTCAAAACATCATGTGTGTTACCATCATTCAGGCATCCTAGGCTAGATCCAGAACACTTCCCGTTCTTGGGCATTTTCGAAATGCCCTCCCCACCTCCACATGGCTGAGGAGATAGTTTTGTAATCAGATTTATAGCTGATGCATTTATGGCAGTGCATTCGTGTTTTAAGAGAAGTTTCCATTTTTATGAAATTGCTGTAAAAACTTTTGTTAACATGTTTTGCATTAAATGCCTTTATTTTCCTTTGAATGCTTGCCTTTGACTGCGTTCAACTGTCATTTCCAAGATCATGGCGTTACAAAATTGATTGTCTTACCAGGAAATGATTCATTCCTACTTTTTGAGATGCTCATAAAAAAACGCTGGGATTTTTGCGGATATGATTACATCTTTGTTAAATCATAGGAAGTTCAAAATAGTTTGAAATAATAATAGGGATTTTTTGTTGTTGTTTTGAAACAACTTGCAATGTATAAGTTTGAACACATGTTCGATTCCTGGAACAGGGGATATGATGGTACTTTCCTCAAGCTGAGTTCCTTGTGTTTTCCTGAAACTTCTTACCTCTCTCGGACTGGCCCTTTCCTGATAAACTGTTATCGATCCTTTCTGTCTAACTCCCGCTTCAGCATTTTATTGAGTTGTAAAGCTCACAGTCTTGCTAAAGGTGGCACAGGCATAGTTTAATGCAATCCATAGGAGTAGAATAAAATGCTTTTAAAATAGATGAAAACRCAGATTATTCTGAAGGAAATCAGCTTGTGGTTCGAGGAATGCGATGGGAATGTGCAAGGACCCCCACGAGCCGGCGTCCTCATTGCAGACCGAGCCCGGCGACCGCTTCCTGCAGCAGCAGGAGGCTGCGGAGATAAGTGCTCGCGTTCGAAAGGGCCTTCCCGGGGCAGGCCTGGCCTTCTGAGCGCGGTTTTACAGCCACTCATTTCATTGCAGCTTTCTACCGGAGCAAACATCTGAGAGAAAAAACCATTTCCCGACTCCGAGGAAGGCCTGAGCGCGGCTCGGAGCGGGAGCGCTGGCACAGCCGGGGCTCGGGCTGCAGCGTCTCCAGCTCGAGTCCCACCTCTCGGCTCTGCTTCCTCCTACACCTGTGCTTTCTTCTTTTTTTAAAATATTTGTGATTTCTTTAATTGCTTTTCTTCTTGTTTGCAGAGCCAGAGGCACAAGCTCCTTTCTGAAATAAAAGACTAAATATTTTTCTGTGTTGAGAAGGACAAGAGTGGGGTACAGGGAGCTTAGCTCTCATTGACCTGCAGAACTGCCCCTAGCTGAAACAAGAGTTGGGAAGGAGGAGGCTTTTCTGAAACCTTCTCTGTCCCTTTAATCCCCCTTGGCCCTTCAGCAAGGGGGGAGACAGGATCTTATGGGAAGACCCAAACCAGCTCTGGCAGTGGCCCGAGGGCGAGGCAAAAACTGCAGCTTTGCTCTAGAAAATTGCTCCTGGCATTGGCCGTGCCGTGGTAAGAAAATTACTTTTTGCTTTCCTTGTCTTCAGCACTTTTACAACAAATCTTGGAGGAGATAAAAGTGAGATTTTAACCAGAGATGGTTAAAAGAGGGCCGCCCTGCACGGGGCTGCGGGGCATCCCCAGCCGCAGCTGTGCAGGAAGAGCCCCAAATCCCCGGACAACGCTTTGTGGAGCCGCGTGCTGCCGTGTTGGGGCACGGAGTTATGGGCTTGATGGGAGCAGGGCCACGGCACTGCTGCTAAAAAAAAAAAGTGGCTTTTTAACACCAACAGCCCAAGGATGGGCTCCTGCAAGTCCCACTGTGACTTCCCAGGAAGGAAAAAGCCCCCCGGAGCGGGCGGGCAGCTCTCCGTGCTCTCCCACCCCATGGGACCCCCTCGCAATCACCCGGACCCCCTGGGGACCTGGGCGTCGGGTGCAGCCCCGTGTGTTACGGAGCGGCTTGTTGCAGCCGCTCGCSTCCTGCGCCGGCGCCGTCCCGCCGCGCGGGCGACGCTTCTCCCGCCCAGCGCCCGAGGGGCCCTGCCGGCCTGTCCAGACCAGCCGCTCGCCCCCAGCCCCGGCCCGCCGAGGCCACAGCAGCGCTTCCCGGTGCATTTCCCCACACGCTTCCTCGTGGGCTTCCCCATACACTTCCTCACGTGCTTCCCTACATKTTTCCTCCTGCACTTCCCCACATGTTTCCTCGCATACTTCCCATACTTCCTCACACTTCCCCATTCTTCTCCATGCAATTCCCTACACACTTCCCCACACACTTCTCCGTTCATTTCCCTGTGTGCTTCCCCACACTCTTCCCAATGTGCTTCCCCAAAGGCTCCCCCAGACACGTCCCCCTACACTTCCCCACACACTTCCTCCCGTGCTTCCCCCATGCTTCCTGCACACTTCCTCACAAGCTTCTCCTCAGGCTTCCCCACGTGATTCCCCAAACACTTCCCCAAATGCTTTGCCGTGCACATCCTCACACCCTTCCCCACTCACTTCCCCATGTGATTCCCCACATGCTTCCCCATGCATTTCCCTGCATGCTTCCCCACATGATTCCTTACTTTCCCAGGCATTTCCCCATACACTTCCCTAAACCCTTCTCCAGACAACTCCCCACTGGCTTCACCACACACTTCCCCATGGGATTCCCATGCACTTCCACACACGCTTCTGCACCCATTTTCCCACATGCTTCTCCACACGCTTCCCTGTACACTTCCCAACACTCCCCACACACACTTGCCACACTCTTCCCCGTGCAATTCCCTACACATTTCCCCACATGCTTCCCCGCGCACTTCCCCATACACTTCCCCACACGCTTCCCTGCACMTTTCCCTGCACGTTTCCCCACACAMTTCCTCCTGCACTTCCCCATGCTCTTCTCCATGAATTTCTCGACGTGCTTCCTCACACATTTCCTTCTGTGTTTCCCCACACACTTCCCTGTGCATTTCCCCACACATTTCTCCACATGCTTCCCCATAGGCTTGCCCATGCTCTTCCCCACACACTTTCCTGTGTGTTTCCCAACACACTTCCCCATGTTCTTCCCCAAAAGCTTCCCCTCTCACCTTCCCACRTGATCTCCCACACATTTCCCCACACGCTTCTCCACGGCCTTCACCACACAATTCCCCACGCTCTGACCCTTGTGCTTCCCCAGTTTTCCTGTGCACTTCCCCACACCCTTCCCCACGTGCTTCTCCACACACTTTGTCGTGTGCTTCCTCACACGTTTATTCATGTGCTTCCCCTCATGCTTCCCCACACCCTTCCTTGTGCCCTTCTCCATGTGCTTCCCACATGGTTCCCCACATGCTTCCCTTCCCTTCCCTTCCCTTCCCTTCCCTTCCCTTCCCTTCCCTTCCCTTCCCTTCCCTTCCCTTCCCTTCCCTTCCCTTCCCTTCCCTTCC